TGGTTACCTTGCATTGCATGTAAGTGTTATATTTTTTATTTTTACAGCATGAAAGTAATTTCATCTAGAACGCATATAATATAATAATAATAATAATAATAATGATAAGAATCATCACATCGTTCGTAAATTTAATAACTTAATGTTTGTTTGTTTTTTTTCCTAAGGGAGTGTGAATGTTTTATTAAAACAATTGAGAAATAATTTTGTTCTTGCATCTAGTATCGTTAATTAAAAAAAAAAATATATATTCTTATAAATATACATATATACATATATACAGTATATTAATTATAACATTAATTAAATTTAAGGTTGCGAAGCAAGCGACAAGTTGGAACAATTGGTGGATCTGGTTAATCGACTTGAGAGTGGTATCAAACGATTGGAAAGAGTACCAGCTGTTGGACAGTCTGTAACTCAAACTCAAGAAATAGCAGTTGAAACCAACACACCGTCACCGAATAAACCACAACCGGTATCAACGAGAAATACAGCGGCGTCGCCATTATCTTCACCAGAAAAAGCATCTTACAATTTAATACAATCAACCAGCAGCAACAACAACAACAACAATAATATTAATAGTAACAGTAACATCAACAGCAACAGTATGTCTGTCGCAGGCTATGAAGATTTGTTGGCAGGATCGTTGAAGGAGTATCTTCAATTGAGCCAAAAAATTGGCGGAGTTGTAGCCACCCAAAGTGAAATGGTTGAAAAAGCATTCCAGTAAGTTGTATTATTAATCCTTTTTTTTTGTTTTATTTGTAATATTATTTAATGTCTGTATAAAAATCACATTTGTTTCTATTATAAAAAAAAAAAAAAAATAATAATCTTTGAACGTTTGATATTTTAAAGAATACAACTTGGTTTCATCAAATTGGCTGGCAGTCGTACAGCCCCAACCAATCAATCCGAACAAATGTCACTGTTAGCACCAACATCAGCACAGATTGTTCAGATTCAAGAATTCAGCGAGAAGAATAGAAACTCGCCATTTTTCAATCATTTATCTGCCATAAGTGGAAGTATTCCAGCATTGGGATGGGTTGCTTTTTCACCTACACCAGCTCCTTACGTTAAAGAGATGAACGATGCTGGACAATTTTATACCAATCGTGTTTTAAAGGATTGGAAAGAGAAGTTAGTATTTGTTTTTTTTTTTTTTTTTTTTTTTGAAATAAAAAACATCATCGTTTGATTTTAAATATTAAATATAATTTATGTTTATATTTGACAGAGACAAAACGCACGTGGATTGGTGTAAAGCATGGGTACAAACATTGAACGATCTTCAACAATACGTTAGACAACATCATACAACGGGATTGGTATGGGCAAAATCTGGTGGTGGTTCTGCGCCAGTGGGGATTCCACCACCACCACCACCTTCCATGCCTTTACCAGAGGTATCAGCATTGAACGTCAGCGACGACAGAAGTGCACTGTTCAAAGAAATTAATCAAGGGGAAGGTATCACGAAGAGTAAGTGTATATTTTGGCAATAATAAAATAACACATAATCTCGATGATACTCATGTGTTTGTGGTATGTGTTTCACTATCATTTATATTTTATTTTATACTCGTTTATAGATTTGAAAAAAGTCACGTCGGACATGCAGACCCATAAGAACCCATCTTTAAGAACTGGTCCAGCTCCATTTAAAGCTCCTGTTTTTGGTAATGCAGTACCAGGAAAAACTGTATTACCAGCTAACGCGCCTATCGATAAACCACCTGTGTTTACTAAGGATGGTAAAAAATGGCTAGTGGTATGTATCCTCATTCAAATCGTCCTATTATTAGGGGTACCTGTATTGAACCCTAATGTTGTTTCTACACATGCATATTTTAATTAAAAACCAATTGTGATTTTTATCAATCCAATATTCTAACATTTGCATATTAGATAAAAAAAAAAGTTGTTGATAACACACAAGGTGTTATTATATTATTAATTTAAAGATTTATTCGTTTAAATTTCAAGTTAGAAAACGACATTACTTTCCGATCCACTTAATATATACAATTACCAATGTGGATTGATAATATATAATTAATGAATGATTTTGTTCTTATTTCCTTAAAAAAAAAAAATGAAAAACAGGAATATCACAAAGGTAACAAAGACCTGGTCATCGACAACGTCGAGATGAACAACGTTGTTTACATGTTCCGTTGTCAGGACAGTACAATGGTCGTCAAAGGAAAAGTTAATTCAATCGTCATGGATTCTTGTCGCAAATCGTCGGTTGTATTCGACTCGGTAGTATCGAGTATCGAGTTCGTCAACTGTCAAAGTGTACAGATGCAGGTACGTTTTTTTAATAATTTGTTTTTTATTTAATTATTCAAAATTTATATTAAAGTATATAACGTATACAAACAAAACGAGAGGTATATTTCTTCTCAAAAAAAATATATATATATAACAAAAGACACAAATATCATAAGAAGAATCGATATGAATAGATGAAAAGACAAAATCATCACGTTTAAACATTATTAGTGTTGTTTCTTAATCTAAGTCTATTGCACAAATTTTGTATTTCCTTTAAATAACCAAGATTTTGTTTACACGTTAAAATTTCAAACAAATAAGAATATTCTTCATTGGTTAATTCTTTAGGTACGCCAAATATTTGACACTCTTTAAATGGCATTATCGTTTCATTGATTTTAAGAAAATCCGACATTGAAGTACTCGTATCAGTGACCGATGGTTTTACAGAAACTTCCATTTCTTTTTGTTGAATCGTGAATGACCAGAAATTTTTTAACTTACCACTTGATGATACATTTGTATTTGATAAATTTTGACTATCGTTTGAATCGATATCATTATTATTATTATTATTAGTATTAGTATTGTTAGGTGTTATAGAAGACATTATTGTTACAACTTTTGGCAAGATATGTTTTTCTTGAGTCATTATTACAAATGGTGAAGATGACGACACGTTTTCATGGAATTTAGGATCTGACGATGATGAATCATTTCCAATCTTTTTTTTATTATATTCAAGAAATTTATCAGGATCAAGTATTCTTGTTACGTTGCTATCATGATGATTGATTATATTAACGTATATTATTGTTTGTTCGTTAGGTACGATATTATTATTATTATTATTATTATTACAATCTTCATCATCAATTAGATTAACTTTTTCTTCTTTAAACGATAACAACGATGACGATGATGACAATGATGATACAGTTTTAAATTGTTTCTCAATCATTTTATTATTATTATCCAAATGTTGTCCAAGTGTTTCTTCTTTATTAATAAAATTACCTTCATTTGGTATAACATTGATTTCACTAAGATTATCATTATTATTATCATGTAATTTATTTCTAAATGAACCACGCATAGTTAATGGTCCTCTGATTGGACTTTTAGGTCGACATGTTGGATGTTGTTCAATTTTTCGTGAATCCAATCGACTTTTTAATATTGGTATACATGATTTAGAAAATGATTTCGGTTGGGTCAATATTATTGAACATTTGGAACCTGTTTCTGAATTCGATTTCATTTGATCGTTATTCGATCGAGAAAAAACAGCCGAACGTGATGAAAAATAATCATTTTTATTATTTAATCGTGATTTATCTCGTGATAAATTGCAACTGTTAGGTCTGGTATATGATTTTGTTAAAGAATCTGATACAACCATATCTTTGTTATCAATTATTATATTCAAATTACTTTTTGCTTTAAGCTGCGAATTATTATTATTATTATTATTATTATTGTTATTGTTATTGTTATTGTTATTTATTGTTCCATATCTTTTGGAATACGTCATCGTACTTCCTTTCACATTTATCGGTTCTTTAGATTTGTTATTATTATTATTATTATTATTATTATTATTATTTGTTATTTTACATTTGGAATTAATGTTTGTATTACGTGTACGATTATTTCTTTTGAAATTGGATTCATCTGTAATAGGAAATGGTTGTGGTGGTTTTTTGTAACAAATACTACCATCAAATATAAATCCTTCGGATTTATTTTCCATGAAATTTTCATTAAATTCTTCGATAGATTTTTTAACATCGTTGAATAATTCCAAATCGTTTGTTTCTTCAATATGTGAAATCAATGTTTCATTATTGTTATAAATAATACATTCTTCATTCTTTGCTGTTGTTGTTGTTGTTGTTTTTATATCATTCAATTGTTCCAATGATTCGTTGTTGTTATTCATCTCATCACACACAGTTTCTTTTTTTATTAACAATTTTATACAAGTATTTAAACAATATTCTAATATATCATTACAAATATCAATTTCTTGAATTGTATCATTGTTCATTTTAATATTACTCGATGATTCTTGATAACAATCCAAATCATCTATTTTATTAATAGAACTTGAAGTATCATCACCTGTAAAATATGAACTACTTTCTTTTGAAATCATGTTATATTGTGATATCATACTATCTTGATTATCATCATTTTTATTATCAATAATATTCGTAATACAAAGTATACTTTTTTCATGATCATCTTCATGAATTATTTGCATTTCATGTTGATGATCAGAAGTTTCATAAATTTGATCATCTTCATGAATTATTTGCATTTCACGTTGATTATCAGAAGTTTCATAAATTTGATTTTCAATCATTTCAGTTACTTCAATGCCATTTTTTTGTCCATCATTTTTATAAGATATTCGTAATGCTGATGACGATGATAAATCATTTGTAATATCATTGAAAATTTGTTCACGCGTCATTGTAAAAATATTTGATATTGGAATTAAATTAAATTCAATACTTTCACGACAATTTATTTCTGAAAGAGTTGTTGTTGTTGTTGTTGTTTCTGATAAAAAATATGGATTTTGAAATAAATCATTTTCATTGGGTATTAGGGTATTCATTTTGAGTTGGGCAAATGATAACATTCCTGGTCGTCTTTTTAATGACAAATCATGATCGTATAATATGTCATCTTTTTTAATGACCGACGATGACAAACAACAACTTTTATTATCCAAATTTGAATCAGTTGGTGAAAATAAATTTGTCATGCTACCATTATCAATCATTAATTGATATTTTATATTACTACTACCACCATAACTAGATGAATCGGTAGTTCGATTGAATGATAATAAATCATCATCGGTTTCTTCCATTTTATTATTATCATCTTGAAAATCATCATTATCATCATCATCATGATTTTTATTGTTTGTGTCATTATTATCATTGTTAAGAGTTGTTGAATTTTCTAGGTTATCTTTAATACATTTTTTTGTTAATAAATTATCATTGATATTATTTGTAACATTATTTTTATAATAATCATTTTGATAAAATGACATATTAAAGCTCTTAGCTTTACGTAATTCACCATAAGATATCAAACGTTTATTATCTTCATCTTCTTCATCATCGTCACGATGACATTGTCTTTTACAATCATCATTTATATCATCATGATCATTATTATCATCATTGTCATCATTTAACAATGTAACTTCATCGTGTCTTCTTTTACCTTTCAATGATGATTTATTTTTTTTTTCCATAACAAATGTTTCAGAATCATTTGCAATTTCTTCTGGCGATGAAATATCATTTGAACTAAAATATTGAGATGAATTATTCATTGGTATAATTTGTTTCGATAAATGATCATATAATTCTGTATCAATGTTATTATTGTTGATTATAATTTTGTCCTTGTTTTGTTCATCGTCATTTATTTTCACATTCAATGATGACGTTGAATCATTGTATGATTGTTTAGTTTCTTGAAAAATATATGTACCACTAGTTTTATCAGTACAATTACTAGTACTTGATTCTTCAGTAATAATATCCAATAATTTACATTGCAAATTTGTCTTTTCATTATTTAAACAATCAATATTATTATCAATATCATTTGTATAATTATTTGAAATAGTTTGTTCTTCAATTTCATTCATTATTTCAACGTTAGAATATAATTTGTGTAAAAGTTTGTTTTTACATTGCAATGCTTCTTTTATCAACATTTCTGTAGATTCATTGTTTTCTACGTCACTATATTTCAATATTTCTAATTCATTTGTAGAATTAGTTGATAACATAATCGAATTATGATCATCATCATCATCATCGTCAGTTTCCATAAATTCTGACGATGATAATTCTTTATCTTCTTTATGCAAATCATTACTTGAAATAAATTTGTCATTTGTCATTGTATTATCATCACTTTTATAAGATTCTTCATGATATACTATCATTGATTTTTCTGAATGACTTTTTTTCATTGAACTTGTCGAATTATTTTCTTCAGAATCGATACTTTCAAATAATTCCCAATCGCTGCTAGTTGTTTGTAACATTTTATCGTCATATTGTTTCAAATTGAAATTTACATTGAAATTCATCTGTTCATTATTAATTACATTTTTCATTTTGTCATATGTGTTGTCAATTGCATTACGATAAATTGTTTTAATATCGTTGGTGGTTATTTTTGAATTATTTGTTTCATCTTCTTCTTCTTGTTTTAATTTGACGATATTTTTTACTGGTGAATTTAACGTGACAACACCATATTTGTTTAAAACATTTTCAAGATTTTCCAATTTACGTTTTATCTGATATAAAGTTTCTTGTGACATTAATATGACGTTATCATTCGTAGAATTGTTGATGAAATTATTCGATAAAAAATGATCATCCTCATTGTCATTATCATCGTCATAATCGTGTTGTATACTTAAATTTAACGAAGTTAACGAACAATTATTATTATTAATTTGATCTATTTGTAATAAACCATTAGTATAAGCATTCACGAACGTTTTTGGATGATTTTTTTCTAACCGCTGTTTTTGTTGTTGTTGTTGTTCTTCTTTTTCTTCTTGTAGTTTAACGATAGTTCCTTTTACTCGTCCGATGATTTTGCATCTTTCACTTGCATTCCTTGCATCTGTTGTTTGAGCGTGCAAAGATGATGATGACTTTAACAAAACAGAACGTTAATACATCGTCAGAAAATAATACGATTTGTATTGGTCATCTGTTACATTTATTTTTCTAATTTTTTTTTTTTTTTTTTTTTTACATATTATTACATTGGCAACTAAATTTAAGCCATTTTTTTTTTAAATTGTAGCATTTCATGGGTTTTCAGGTTTTAGTTTTTTTTTTTTTGGAAATTATTTTATTAAAAATAAATTGTAAAAATTAAAACTAGTTGTGGAATTTAGTTGTCAATTTAATATATATAATTATTTATTTTATAAATTATATAGATAATATATATAATAATATATAATAATATATAATTATATATAATTACAAATTATAATTTACAAATATATATATATATATATATATAATAATATATTTTGTAATATTCCTTTTTTATATTTAATTTTTTTAATTTATATAAATTTAAATACCTTATCGTCCGTGTTAGTTTTAAAAAATGTAGAAGAAGAATCTTCACTGATTTCCGACGAGCTATAATTTAATTCTAATCTTTTATTACTTTCTTTCAATTCTCGTAAAAATCTTTTACATTCTTCGATACTTTCGATATATTTATTACAACCATCGTCATTAATTATTTTCGATGGTGACGTTACAAATTTCGAATTATCATCCTTCAACAATTTTTTTAATGAACATGAATCATTGTTTTTACGTGCCACTAATGAAAGTTGTTTTGCATTTTGACAAGTCTCTGATTCTACATTTTTGTTCTTCGCAAATCCATCGAACAATTGTTGAATATCATTTGAATTTCTTTTTCTATGATATATAAATTGTAATATTAGGTGTTTTATTTTTTTTTTCTTTTTTTTTACAATTTTTATTTAACCCCTTTGAGTACTCTATGGACGCATATATGCGTCCAACGTGGAATATTGTTGCATAAATATAAATGAAAATAATTTAATTTTGTTTTACTGTAATTGTATTGATTATTAATTATTATTTTAATTATTATTTTATATATAAATAATAATAATATATAAAAAGTAGATTTTTTTATATTATATATATATTAAATTATTATTATTATTATTATTATTATTAATTATATTAAAAATATAATTTATTATTAGAATTTGATTATAATAAAATATCAATTAATGTTATTAGTAATATTAATAATAAATTTGTTTTTTTTTTTTTTTTTTAAATTGAATTTTCTTTAACACTCAAAGGGTTTAATATTATTTAAAAAAATTTTTTTTTTTTTTAACTTACTTGACAGATTCATGGCTGGTTGTTTTTAATGATTCAATCGTTAAATTTTGTTGTCGATCATTTGACAATACTTTTGATTTTATTTCTGACAAATTGTATTCCATATTTTTGTCAAACAATTCGTTCAATCGATGTAAAGATGACGTTAAATCCAATTTTGAAGATGACGAGTACGTTTTTGACGATGAACTAAATATACAAAAAAAAATATATATATATACTCATAATATTTATTTAAACAAAAATATAACAAACTTGTACACAAATGTTGTTTCGAATTAAATTCAATGATTATTATTTTATTATTTTATTTTTTATTTACTTCAGCAACATATGTTTGATCCAAGTATTACGATCGTTCGATGTTGACAAAGTTAATCTCAAATTACGTAATTGTTTTTTTAATTTAGGATTTAAAATTTGATAAGGTAATGGCCATGTTCCATATTGAAGTTTATAAGTCAATATATTAATTTTCAATTCTAAATCATCGACCTTGCAACCAACACTGTTGAGAATATATTTGCTAGGTGGTATCGTATTCAATGTCCATTTTCTTTTCATGTATAATACACGTAGTAGTAATAACAGCAGACATATAATGCAAATTGTAATAATCTTCAAAAAGAAAAAAAAAAAAAAACGTAATTAAAATTTAATTCAAATAAAATTTCTTTTTCTTTATGAAATATAAACGTGAAATTGGAAAATAGAAAAATCAATGAGATGGTTTAATGTTTCAAAATTATGGTGTATTATTTTTTATAGGAAATTATTTTAATACGTTGACGCCGGCGCCGATTTTCAGTGTCTGCGCTATGGGGCGGCACTCGAATCTAAGATGCGCTTCATCTGGCGGCGCGTGATTTTTGCTTGTTCAAACCTGAAACAAGGTGGACCACCGGTGGTACGCGCCGCCCGACGGGACAGTCTAACGCGAGCCACCGGTGGTACACGCCGCTCGATGGGACAGTCAAGCGCGGGCCATCGGTGGTACGCGCCGGCGTTAACGTGTTAAATGAAAATAATTAATACTTAAGATAATAATTCGATATAGATTAAAATAATATTATTTAATAAAATTATTATTATTTATTAAAATTATTATTATTATTATTATTGATTAAAAAATTAATATAATTTTATTATTATATATGTATTAAATTTAATAAAAATAACACATATATAATATATAATATATATGTATTATTAATATTATTTATTAAAAACAATGTTTTGTGTAATACGATGATAATATATATATATATATATATATTACTTTGCATGTATACAATCCTTCTCTCCATAATGTTAATTTAGTTGTTAAACAATCAACAACATCTGTAACAACTTCCATCCAAATGTATCTCAAAATAGCACGTATACATTGTTTCCAATCGGTCTCACAAATTATTCTCACTGGTTCTAAATTACCACCTTATTTCCATAATATAATACAATATGAAATGATTTCTTTTTTTAGGTTATGTTTTATACGTGGTACTACAAAATATATCATTTTATTAATATTCTTTATTTATTATTGATTTACCTGGTTGCCAACGCATATCGATGTTGATAATATTCTCTCATGGAGAAGTTTTTATCCTAAATGGACAAATACGTTTCAACCACGAGATTATTATTTATTGTAAAAATTAAATATATTTGTATAATATCATGACGTGTAACAGATCTTCAAAATCGAATAAATCGATGTTGTTGTTGTTGTTGTTGTTGTTGTTGTTTATGATATTAGTAACGTTTTGCTTTTGTTATATATATATGTATAATATATAATTTTTTATCCTTTTCTATTTAATTTATGCGAAACAAGGTCATTTCAATTAGTTATAGTTCATCACAAACATTTTATTATATCTAATATTATTTTTCAATCTTTTATTTATTTAATGATTACAAATTAATTTGTTGTTGCATTTTAAAAAAGAAAATTTAATATAAAAAAATTAAAATTAATATTAAAAATAACAAGTAAATAAATATATGTAACTTACTAATTATATATAAAATTATATATAACTAATTAATTAACTATATATAATATTTTTATTTATTATTTATATTAAATTATAATATTTATGTATATATATAGTAATCATTATAATTATAATAATATTATATAATATATAAATGTTGATTTATCTAATTTACTGTAATTATACCAAAACAATTGTTAATTTTTTGATAAATTAATTAATTCTTGTTTGTTTCTCTTTTATTTTTTTTTAGGTACTCGGTAAGGTGCCAACTATTTCAATTGACAAGACAGACGGTTGTCAAATGTATCTGAATTCTGAATCATTGGACGTCGAATTAATAACAAGCAAATCTAGCGAAATGAACGTCATGGTGCCCAAAGGGAATGGAGATTATGTAAGAAAGAATTTCATATTATAATTTATTTAACAAAATAAAAATCAAACTTTATTAAACCCTTTTTCCAATATTATTATTATTATTATTGTTACATATTCAATTGTTCATCTTAAACAATTTCATTTGATCTCTCTATCAAGTTATTTATAATAAAATAATATTGAAATTGTAATTATTTACAGACGGAGTATCCTGTTCCAGAACAATTTAAGACAACCATCAGTCCAAAAGGCCTCAGCACAATTGCAATCGATTCCCTTGGTTAAAAAAAAACAAAAAAGCAAAAAAAAAAACAAAATCCCATGAAAACAAGCAAAAAAAAAACCACCCTAATTAAAATACTACTAATCGTAGCCTAAAAATATCTTTCTAACAAGTACGATTCACATTAGAGGTTATGTCATCGTTAAGGATATCATCAATTTATTATTATTTATTGTCTTCTCGAATAAGGTATGCTCGGAAGTTATGATAACGATGATGATAATGATGATGATGATGATGATGATGATGATAATAAGATGAAGTCGAGTTAAAAAGGATCGACAACTTCGTTAAAAGAAGAAACAAGAAACAAAAAACAAAAAATAAGCGCGCTACGAATTGATTTCAATCCTATCTTAAAATTAGGATTAATAATCCTTTCTTCTTCCTTTCTTCGACCCACGTGAGTGAGAGAGAGAGAAAGAGAGAGAGAGAGAATAAAAGATAAAGAGAGAGAGAGAGAGAGAGAGAGAGACTAGGTATTAGATAAATTCTCATTTAAAAAAGAAAAATTAAAAATTAAATTGAAAAAGTAATTTCTCAAAAAGAAGAAAATTATTAACAAAAAAAGAAAATAATTTACAAAGAACTGCTACATTGTTGTATACAGCTCTGTATATGTGTTTCATTTAAAGAAAAATAAGAAGAAGAAGAAGAAGAAGAAAAAAACAAAATGGAAGACGACAAAATATTAAAAAATATTTGACTCTCGTATTACTCGAAATGAAATATGGAAAATAAATATGGTAAAACAATTTAGCAAGATTAGGAATCGAGAATTCGATAAAATATTTAATGATGATGATAATGATGATGATGATAATAATGATGATGATGATGATGACTACGTGATAATATAGTAATGCTATAATCGAGATGAAATTTCAGGTTAGGTGTGGACAAAAGTTGATAGAAATGTTCTATCAGCACTTTTATATATTTACACAATTTTATATAACAGTAATGATGAAACTTTTGTCCAAACCAAACGTACAAAGTTCGAATATTTATTATTATTATTATAGCAATCGGGGAATTGTTAAAATACATCAAACAACAAAATCATTTAATTTAAAACATGAGTTTTTTTTTTCTCAATACATAAATAAATAAATAATAATTATTCGAAGCGTGCTGCATGCGCGTTGCTTTTTCATACGGCGCCATATTGAAATAGTTTGATCATAATATAATTAATGCATCATTCGACATTGGGTAATTTTTTGTTGTTCAACGCCATTTATAGGGAGTTTTGTTTAATCACCGGGTTTGCATGTTCTTCCTCTTCGAGCGTATATATTTAAATTATATATTACATACATATATATATAAATATATATATATATATACACTCTCACTCCTTAGGTTTCCTCATACTCTATCGAAAATCAAAAAAAAAAAAACAAAAACAAAATGAAAGAAGAAAGAAAGAATGAAAAGGAAAATGTTCAAAATGATACATTTGGATAAATTGTAATTTTTCTTTATGTTCAATTATAATACGTTGGCTTCCTTCGTATAACTTTGTAAATAAGTGAACAATAACATGTTAGTTAAAAATCTCATGTGGTACGATGACGATGACGACATTGATGATGATGATGATGATGATGATGATGATGGGGTTTGTTCGGTCCTGAAGAAGAATGTCTTTTAACAAAGCGCAGAAAAGCAAAAATTAATTAATTGATGAATTAATTAAAATGTAAAACAAGAATAAGCAAAAAAAAAAAAAGAAAAAGAAACAACAACAACAACAACAACAAGGTGTGTTAATTATCGTGATACAAATTGCAATTGTGATTTTTACCAATCGGTATAAATAACTAATGCTAATCGTAAGTGTAAGGTTTAATCGTACACAGTCATTAATTGTCTAAGCATAATTAATATAGTTTAGAATTACAACTTTCAATCAGTTTTCAATGTTTAGATTTATGCGAAAAGGAAAAAAGAACAACAATTTGCGATAATCAAATGAACGTTTTTATTCAAAGGCTTTTTTTAATCAATACTAAATATGAATAACTTATATTCAAATTTCTCTATTCCTTATCTTGGTATAATTAAAATAAATGTTTCATCATTAAAAAAAAAAAAAAAAAAAAAAAAAAARAAGAAAAAAAAGAAATGAAGAACGAACAAAACAAACAAACTAAAGAAAAGAAATGAAAGTATGAAAAAAAAAAAAAAAAAAAAAAACGGAGTATGACATATTGAGATTAATCATTTCTTTTTAATGAATTACATATTTACATATTACAAAGAAAGAAAGAAAGAAAAAACAAAAGAAAGGAATAATTAATCTTTTATTTTCTAACTTAACCTAACTTTTTATTTCTTTTTAATTATTATTATTATTATTATAATAATATCATTTGGATTTTAATCATAAAAGGACGTCGTAGTTACGTAATATTATCTGCTATTTAACACAGCGTTTTAATAATATTATTATTATTATTATTAATAAAAAAAAAACAAAAGAGAATTATATCGAGCCGTATGCATAATTTTTACGTTTAAAAATTGTATTATGGGTACGAGAAAAGAAATCAAATAATAATAATACATTCGCGCTTTAACTACTACTACTACTATTACTATTACTACTACTACTCTCTTGTGAACAAAAAAAAAACACATACACATAAACACACACAAACACACACAAACACTCTCTCTTATAATATTTATAAAAATAATCCTATGCAACAAAAAGAAAAGAAAAAAAAAAAATTACGCAATTACATTTCTGCTTTTAAAAATATCTTATCCAAGTTTTGATCGGATATAATATTATTAATTATTATTATTATTATTATTAATTGTTATTATTATTATTATCATCATCGTGAGTATTATTAGTCATGCTATTTTTCTCGCATAATAATTATTCTTTCAGATGATAAATGCTCGCAAGATCTTTTTTTTTTCCTGTTTTATTGCAATAAAAAAAAAAAAAGAAAAACGTACAAGAAAAACAAAAGTCTGATCAAAATAGGAAAAAGATTCTTGTAGTAGAAATACATTTATTCTTCTGTCTCTTAAACAAATTTGCTTTTTAAATGTTTCTCTTCTTCAATTATTATTATAACAATTATTATTATTATTATTATTATTATTATTATTAATAATATTATTAATTTAATTTTCTTTACAGCTTTATGGTTCTCAAATTTTTAATATTATCTATGCTGCACCCTTTTTCTTTAATTATCACATTTTTAGGTTAGGATTAGAAATAAATTTTCAAATCAAAATTTTATTATAATTATTTGAATTTAATTTGTAAAATAAATTGTCAAAAGTTTTTAATTTTGTAGAAAGGGTTCAGTTTTTATTTTTATATTTGGGAACCATTGTCCTAAAGACGTTAATTCTTTTTTTTTCTTTTTGGAAACCATTGTGCTAAGGACGCCATCTTCTTTTTCTTTTTCTTTCACTCTCTCAGTTTTTATTTTTTTTTAATTTATATCCTATGTATATATACAAATTCTAACTTTTACTAAAAGAACAAAAAAAAAAAAACAACATAATTATTTTAAATTGTAATACTTAATTCGAATAACGCGAACTCCATAATTATTTTCAACGAGTACCACGAATTCTTAATTGTTTAATGTTTTAAAATGATAAATTAACTTTACGATTATTTCTAAAATTGATAATTTATATTAGAAATACGAAAGTTATTTATCCATCTATATTTTATCATTATTATTATTAATATTATTAATTAATTAATTAATTTATCTAACAACTTACAG